TGAACTTGAAGCACTTCTTCTTACAGGTATGATCATTTAATAATCATCTCTTTGATTGTGGTGGATTATTTAGTGAACAGAATTTGTTTTTCAGGTCATTGCATGGAAAAGGATCGAGAACCTCCTCGTGGTCTGCAGTTTATCCTTGGCACCAAACAAAGACCACACCTGGTAGACACACTTGTCATGTCCAACTTGGGATATTGGCAGATGAAAGTCTCCCCGGGGGTGTGGTACCTACAACTCGCTCCTGGGCGCAGTGCTGATTTGTATGAGTTACCTTCGAAACTCATTGCCATAGATAGCCTGAGGGGCAAACTTTTACATATTGAAGTGCAAAAGAAAAAGGGCAAGGAGCATGAGGACTTGCTAAATGCTGATGATGACAACCATGTCCAGGAAAAGACGGTCTGTTTTTATTAATTTAGTTGTAAAACATATCAGTTCTAGACATTCTTTTTTCCTAAATGCTTTTTAATGCAGGATAATAAAGGGTGGAATACCAACCTTTTGAAATGGGCTTCTAGTTTCATTAGTGGGGATGCCTCATTAAAAAAGAAAGCTGAGAAAAACACTGTTAGTATTTCTTCTGTGAGTTATTTCATTCCACTGCATGTTATTCCGATCAGGCTACAGAAACAAGCTTTGGTCTAGGAAAATTTGATTGTCCAATTTTTCATGATTTTCTTGCTGGGGTGCACCCAAAACTTCCAGGAATATTGTGTAGAGTTCTACTCTAGTGTTATGTATGGAAGTACTTTGCTAGGGATTCTAGACCAGCATATAAACTGCACAGTGATTCCTTGGGGAAAAACACGACTGAAAGAATGAGATAGTTTCTGAAAACATAGATTATGTTGCACATTTGATTTTACTGAAAGGGAATTACACTGCGCATACCAACACCTAAAACACTTGGGAAAACTGAACTTTGTTAGGAAGTCTGACTATCTGTTTGATGAAAGGTATCATGGAACTGTTCCTAGTTACACCTTTGCTCTTGCTAATGCCGATGAAGATATTTTCTGTAATACGCATATGTAGGAATTTGAGTAGAATAATGATTCCACATGTAAAAGTTACAGGCTAGTTCATGCATGTTTGTATCTTATGTTACTGGTTACATACTCCACATTTGTTGGTTAGAGAAAATCCAACAGTTTTGCTCTGCACTTCTATTCAGGACCTTAAGGATGCAAGACAAGGGGAGACAATTAACATTTTTTCTGTTGCTTCTGGTCATCTGTAAGTGTCCATTTCGTGAAAATATGAATTGCATTCGCTGTGGATGCCTATGCTGTTCATTGTTGGTTATAGTTTATCGTGCTGACACTTCTCACTTGTGCGATTAACCTTCAGAGCCATGTTCTGTGTTAGCTGCTAGCACTGTTGCCTTTCTTTTCCTTGAACTACTTGCTGTCGTTATTGGAATAACACATGCTTTTTGCAGTATTCTGTATACTGCACAAACAGCTACTCTTGCACTCTAGTCTAATGTTGCTGCAGCAAATCCTAATTACACATCATACACCATTTTACTCTTGGAAGAATATCATACCGAAAAGTATGACTTAAGAACATGTCTGCAAATTTTCATGTTGCAGGTACGAGCGTTTCCTAAAAATTATGATCTTGAGTGTTTTAAAGAAAACACAAAGGCCAGTGAAATTTTGGTTCATTAAGAATTATCTATCTCCACAATTTAAGGTAAATGAGCTGCTTTTGAGTCGATTAATTTATGAGCAGATGGAAGGTGTCTCTGCTTTTATCTAACCAGTAATCCTGCCAGGATGTCATACCCCACATGGCTCTGGAATATGGATTCGAGTATGAGCTTATCACGTATAAATGGCCAACATGGTTGCACAAACAGAAAGAGAAGCAACGAATTATATGGGCATATAAAATCTTGTTTCTGGATGTTATATTTCCACTTTCGCTGAGGAAGGTACTTTTTCTATATTACAATTATCTTATGATCCTGCTTCATGTAACCATGTTCTTCAGTAGGTAGAAGCAGTTATAGCCTGATTGAGTTCTAACGATATTCTTTTTCTGATGCTTTGTAAATAGGTTATTTTTGTTGATGCTGATCAAATTGTGAGAACAGACATGGGAGAACTGTATGACATGGATCTGAAGGGCCGTCCCCTTGCGTATACTCCGTTCTGTGATAACAACAAGGAGATGGATGGCTACCGATTTTGGAAACAAGTTAGTTACCAACTTAGCACAAACCATACTACTGCTGTAGATCAGGTTATTCATGGCAGGTTAAAGATGTTCTTAAGTTGTCTGCTGACTCCTGTTCTTTTCCCTGTGTGTTTGAAGGGTTTCTGGAAAGATCATTTGCGAGGAAGACCATACCATATCAGGTTGGTGACCTGTTGCATCAAGTATGCTTAAATAGATTATTGCTGTTATTTTGTAACATGATCGTTGTTTCAGTGCCCTTTATGTTGTTGATTTGGCCAAATTTCGACAAACTGCTGCTGGGGACAATCTACGGGTTGTTTATGAAACACTCAGCAAGGACCCCAATAGTCTCTCAAACCTTGATCAGGTACATCTATTTGTTCCCCTTTACACGTAACATTTGATGGAGTGGGTCACAGCCTCACAGGCCAGTGCTGCATGATTAGTGGCTTCACTGCTACAGTCTACAGACCAGAGTTCAAGTTGCTGATGAACTGGATTTCTTGGAAAGGCCCAATCTTGAAAGATATAACTTCATTATTTGATTCATACATGATTTCGTGCAATATGTATATGTGCAATTATCGTTTTTAATTGAATTTATATTGATAATTCAACAACAGCAACAACAACGAAGCCTTTAGTCCCAAACAAGTTGGGGTAGACTAGAGGTGAAATCCATCAGATCTCGCGACCAACACATGGTTCTCGACCAATAATATAGGTGCAATATTTTTCTAGTGGTTACCATTTTCAACTTGCATCGGGATGAGCTGGTTTATGTTTCCAACAGTAGAATGCTGTATGTAGAACCAAGCTCCAGACTACAAAATAGTCATATAAGTGAAGATGAGTGCAATGCTTACTTGTAGCACTTTTATCCAGGATCTCCCAAATTATGCTCAACATACTGTGCCCATATTCTCACTCCCGCAAGAATGGCTATGGTGTGAATCCTGGTGTGGAAATGCCACAAAGGCAAGAGCAAAGACCATTGATCTTTGCAACAATCCAATGACAAAGGAACCAAAGCTTCAGGTAAAATTTTGATTTGCCATGATCTGTTCCCTATTGCTTTAGTGTAGCACTAAAGGTTTGGCTATTCATAATATTTTCCTCGCACTCTCCAGGGTGCTAAGAGAATAGTTCCAGAGTGGGTTGATTTTGACGCTGAAGCTAGGCACGTCACCGCGCGCATCTTGGGGGAGCATGTGGAGGAGATTGCAGAGGCCACTCCCCCATCCTCTGAGTCTGATGCACCAAAGCCTGACCATGAAGACTCAAGCCAGGATGCGAAAGACGAGCTATGAGCACCAGCTGAAACCTAGCTTGATCATTTTCAGAACAGAACAAAACTATACTTTACTGGTCTGATGCCCCAGCAGAAAACATGGTGCAGAGGATAACCAAGCACAGGCGCAGGTACCGAACCAATTCTAGACGGGCCATACCCGGAGGCGGGGGCATATTGACTGCGTCCCTGAGGAACTCTTCAACATCAGTAAAGCTTTTTGATACACCCGTAATCCCGTAGGGCTAGGGGGTCTAGTGATCTATAGCAAGAAAGCATTGTAACAGTCAACAATTTATGTACTTTACGATTATGTTTTCCATGAGGCGCCGTAAACCATTTTTGACATCTGATTGATGGTCGAGAATGTACTTGGAAATTTTTGACATGATTGATTTTACGAGCCATTCTCCAAAGCCACGGCCGTTTTCAACTCCGTGTTCCGTATTATTTCCATAATGAATTGCACGAACGTTTTAACGCGGGATAACGTCGTTTGGAGTTTGAATAAACAAGACTGGTTTCATGGAATTTTACATTACACATCATGACTTGCAAACTGGGGCGTCTGTTGAAGCTAGCTAGTGCCACTCCATGCCGCCGAGCGTGATGGAGCCCATGCCTTCCCACATGTCCTCGGTCCACCCGACCTCCTCGCCGTCGACGCCCTCCTGCTCGCCCTCCCACAGCCCACCGCCGCTCGCGTCTGGCAGGCAGCCAAAAGCACCACCAATGAGCTCAGCTCATCGCTCCCCACCGTTTACTCCACATAGAACGAATTCGGCGAGAGATCTTACAGTGGTTGTACAGGCCACGGCTGCCCTCGCCGCGGCCAGCGAGCCTTCCCCTCCCCCTCGTCCTCGTCGCCGGCGGCGGCCTCGGCTTCGGGTCGTCCCCGAGCACCACCACGTGGCCGGCGTTGCTGCTCGTGTTGCCCCCTAGGGAAGAGGCGAGTGAGATCAGTGCCGTGTCTCACAAACTAGTAGTAGCATGAAGAGTTACTCTGCAAATGGAGGGCGCACGCACCGAAGGGGCTCTTCCGCTTCCGCGACCCCCAGCGGCGGCTCCCTGCCGCGATGTCCTCGACGTCGAGCCGGACGCCGCCATCGCCGTCTTCCGCGTCGCCCCCCGCCTCCGCAGCGGCGGCGCCACCGCCGGCTCTCGGCGCTGGGGGCGACGAGCCGTTGAACCGCTTGAACACCGCCGCGTCCAGAGCGCCCGCGTCGGCCCCGCGCTTCGCCGAGGAGCCCACCGACGAGAACGCGCTCGCCTTCTCCTGCCAGGTCCCGCCGCCATCAAGAACGGAGAAGCGTGACGCAATGGGGAGAACAAGGGCGCAGATCGATTGATACCCTGATGGTCTTGTTGGTGACCCTGACGATCTCCCGCTTCGGCGGCGCCGGCGTTGAGTTCGGAATCTCATCGTCCTGCGGTACCGGCGGCGGCGGGTAGGGATTCAGTTCCCCATCGGCAGCTCTGGAGGATCCAAGAAACAAAGGCGAGGGTTAGAGAACTAGAGATCCAAGATGGAGCAAATTTCGGAAGAGGAAAAGATTCTCCTCCACCTGGGCTTGACGAGGAACGATTGCAGGGTGGTCTGGCCGCCGGACGATCGGATTCCGCTCGGGTACGTCTTCTTATTCTGCTTCCTCATGCTGCCTTCCCAAGATTTTGGTCCTCTGTCTCTCTCCTTTCTCCTTTCTATCGTAGATAGAGTACGAGTGCTGTACTGGACTAGACGAGACTAGAGTCCGCCCAAATTTGTTGGCGCCAAAGTTCTTAAAAATGCAAGCGCTCCCGCCAGAAATTTTGGGGATAAAATCACTAGGCGCAGCCCGCTACCGCCTTCTTGCCAAAGGCCTGCTCTTACGAGTTAAGACTAATATCCGCTAAAAAAAGGTTAAGACTAATACGACATAATGAGGCTACGATTAATCATACTCCTACATTCCAAATCTTAAGAGATCAATATGATGCAAAACCGCAAGAGCACAAGATAGTACTATTAGCATTTCTTGATAGGAATATGTTTATATTTTATTCTGGACAGACGCAGCGGATAACCAATTGCTCTACGAGAAAACATCCCCCGCGTCGTCCCCGCTAGGGCGGCTCCCTACCCAGCCGCCGGGGGCGTATACTCCTTCCTCCCCACCCTCCGCCGCCGTCGGGGGACGCCGCCGGTCTAAGCCCGGGGGCCGACGTCGGTGGCGGAGGACATCACCTCTCTCCCGTGGATCTGGGGTTGTGCGGATCCCCGAATCGTGTGGAGGCGCCTCAGATCCGATCGGCAACGGCGATGGCTGCGGTGCGGCGGCGTCGGAGGCGGCGCGGGCTGCGGGCGCGGCGACCAGCCCTGTTCGGGCGGCGGCGGCACTGCGGTCGGCGACGGCGGCGACGCGCCATCTGCCTTTGGATCGGCGGCGGCGGCGTGGAGGGCCTGGTGGTCGCGTAGGCAGCACCTTCGTCAGATCTGTTCTGACCGGTGCAGTCGACGGTGGTGGTCATCTCTTCCGTCAGAGGTGATCGGCCTGCGGCTGGGTGATCGGATCTCGAGATCCGTCAGCTAGTCCCGGCTACGAGTCGGGGAGACATAGTTGCCGGTGAAAACCGAGCCGTTGGCGGGCGATGGCGGCGTTTTGCGTCGTTACCTTGATGAAGGCATCATCGTGTGACTGTTGTCAACCCACTCGTGCTGCTTCGGGGGAAACCCTAGGATCTGGCCTTCCAGATCGGACGATGGCGGTACTACGGTGCCGTCTCTCTCTTGGGAACATCGTTTGTGGAGCAGCGCTGGAAGACAGAGGCGGGAGGTGGAGCGGCTTCGTCTTGCACGGAGCTTCGGTGGAGCTGTCAAGTCATGCCTGACCGACAGGTGCTACGCTGAGTCATGCCTGGTCGGCAGGTGCTACGCACGACAGATCTTCCAAAGACTTCAAGCTGTGTCGGCTGGTGGTACTTGGCAGCATGGTGCTGAGGTGTATCAGCGACGACCGCGACGTGCTCAACTGTTTGCGCGCAGGAGGAGGTACCGTTGGGCGCCGTGATGGCGTCGACGATAGCTAGACCGAGCAAGGTTGATGCATCAATACAGTTCTGAAGATGGAGCGGTGGCAGTTGGCGGCGGCGGCATCTGAGAGCACGCCGGACCGGCGAGACCCATGCCCGGCAGGCGTCCTGGATGGGTCCTCAGGTCTTAGATGTTAGGTTTGGCTGCGATGTCTGTTTGGTATTAGGCCCAGGCTATCTGCGCCCCTTCATCAACTGGATAGGTGTAGCGACAGTTTGTTGCTTAGACGGCGGCTTTAGTCTTACTGTTGTATTACTTTGTAAGGTCTTGTGAGAATAATTAATAAAGTGGCCGTATGCATCGCCCAGATGCAGAGGCCGGGGGTCATCCTCCTTTTCTAAAAAAAAAAAAGACGCAGCAGCGTTGCTTGCTTTCAATCAATTAAGCGAATTAGCGTGACGCAGCCCCAACGGAGTTCAACACAAACAAGCAGAAAGCAAAAGACAACAACAAGTGAGACAATAGAAAGGAGCAAATTACTTGGCATTTCTTGGCAGGAACGTTACAGGTGCAGAACTGGAGTTAACATGTTGGCCGCCTACTTTTGGTTCAGGAGCCTGCGGTACATCCAGATGATGAACAGAAGCTGCGCCACAGAGACGACAAGGAGGACGACCACCAAAACCGGGCTGATGCTCCACGTGTTCCCAGAGCCGTGCTTCGCCCTATGGCGGCGATGACGACGGCGGGAGGCCATCCTGTGGTGGTGCTGCATCGAGCTGAGGAACCGAGCTCGCAGGGTGTCCGTGTCGGTGTCTGCCCAAATGGCGGTGTACACCTTTGGTGCCTGATGCGAGTCGTCGTCGGCCTTGATGTCGATGGAGAAATGAGCATTGTCGTCGTCGGCGTGGCTGCTGGTGTGGTGTCTGTATGCCATGGTTGCTTCAGTCATACCGATGGTACAAGACGGTGTGCACGCGGGCTTCGAATGTGGATCGGTGTTCTTGGATGCTCCAGTAGATGGATGTTCCACTGGCCCAGCCTTGTTTTTGTAGGTAACTTTCTCCGAGGTTTTGTTTGCCATGCGAGGAATTTTCTTGATGGATGCGCCTATGCCACCGCCTGCGCCTGCGAAACTGGCTTCTTGCTTCTTCAGTCCCCGTTGCTTGCGCCAGGCTAAACTTGCAGGCAACATGCAAGGCTCTGAATCGCACGTGGTTTCAGTAGCGCTGCATGCTTTAGATTCTTCATGATTTGGATTGGCTGGCAAACTGATACTCCTGTCCTCCATATGACCACCAATGTTGTCAACACCAGTACGAGTAGAATCTTTAGTAATACTTACTGTGTGATGAACTTCAAGGGTTAAGCTGCTATCGATAGTGCCAACAGATTTTGGTGCTACTTCTCTGTTTGCTGGAATTTCTGGCATTGTTGTCGCATTTGTTCTTGCACTTGCAGAGGTTGTTGTCACTTTTACCTTGCCGACATTCTTCTGATTAATTGTGTTTGGTGAATGTACAGCGGCGTCAGCATGATCGTGTTCTCTTATGTTGAATGTTACTTGCCTGGAGCGAGCCATGATAGCAGGTGAACTATTTTCAGTTTTATCATTACCGAATACTTTAGAGTCACTGCCAACCACTTGCGTTGGCACCTTACTTGCAGTGTCATGAACTCTCCTGGTCTGTTTACTGATGTTAGCAAAGTCCTCTCCTTTATTCAATGTGCATTCCTCGCTTTGACGTACACTGATGTTTGAATTTTGATCGGTTTCAGTACTGTTGATTACTCCAGACCCTTCACGGACCAAGTTATGACCAACTGCAGCAGCAGATTTGCTAACAGAAGAATCCCCAGCAGCGCCAGCATCAGTATGAACATCCTCTCCCATCTTTGACCTTCTTGGCCTAGTTGCATCAGGACCAGTTTCTTGAGGGGTAACTTTTGACAGCAAGCCTGTATCGTTATTGCCACTACGATCATCTTTAACAACAGGACGCTGTTTCTCCACTCGTGAATGGGATTTAGCTTGATGAGCAGGAAACAGCACAACCGAATCTGCATCTTCCTCAGCTTCACCCTCCTCAGGAATAACTTCTGCCAGCTTATGCATGCGACGTCGGCTATTTCTCCTTTCTGTGTTCCTATGGGTCACATTTCCTTCAGCCATGGGAGATCCTTTTTTCACTGCTTTTGAGTCGAAGAAGCCACTGATGTGCATGTAACCAGTACCTGAAGCTGCAGCCCCAACATCTTGATCGGCATTTCTGTTTTCTGCCGACGCCTCATCAGCACTATCAGAAGCAGCAGTTTCAACGTTTCCTTGAGCATTCACATTGCTATCGAAGATGTAAGGGCTCTTGGAATAGTATATGTAATCACCGGAACCAGTCGTCGACCCGTGTACCTGTACAATGTCCTTGATCAGGGGCCAGTCTGGGCCATCCACCAGGCACCTCTTGAGCAGCTTGATCGTGCTTGTGACATCCAGCGAGTGCAGCTTCGCTGCAAGCGCCTTGATCCATCTTGGTATCTCCTGCAATTGATGATCAAATAAGCGCACTGCTCGCAGGCTGTCGACGTTCTCCACAGTCTGCAGCACTGGTCAGTGGGATATGCTAAGGTCCTCAAGGGAAGGCACGCCTGATACCTTCTTCAGATCAGGTGCGTTCCAAACGCTCAATTCCCTCAGTGCAGCAATGTCCTCCACAGCCTCGAGACTCGCCATGTCCACTATGCGCAGCTCCACCAGGGATGTCATGTGTCTGAGGCCGCCAGGCAGGCATCGCAGCTCAGGGCAGCTCTCGAGTTGCATTGCCTGCAAAGAGGGCAACGCTCCTGCCTCGATATCCATCCATGTTTCAAGCTTACGTAGTCCTTGCAAGCGCAGGTTCTCGAGCTTTGGAAAAGGTACCTCAGGGTGGTGGCATTTGCCCATGAACTCTGCATCGATTGACATGAGAGCTGAAGAATCGACAATGCTCAACGATCTCAGCTCTGGCATCAGGCCTAGTGGAGGGAGGGACTGGCACAAGTTGCACCCGATGATGTCGAGGTGGCGAAGATTTGGGAGGGAAATGTCTGAGAGCCAGCTGGGGAACTTGGCCCCAAAATAGCCGGCAATCTTTAGCGACTCGAGGCACGGTGGAGGGTTGAGCTCTTCAAGCACATCCTCAATCTTCCTGACAGCCGTTGGTGTCTGCGGCAGACTCACAGTGTCGTCGCTGCATGACAGCGCGAGCTCCCTGAGGCTCATCTTGCTGGCAAGTGCCACTTCAGCTGCCTCAGACCGACCGGGGGCCCTCTCGAGCTTGTGCACATGGAGTATCCTCAGCTGGCACAAGTGCTTGAGCTCAGCCAGAGGCCACCCGCCCCTGTCCTCTTTGCTGGTCAGGGCGAAGCACCGGAGGGAGGTGAGGCTTCTCAGCTGGCCTACCCTGAACGCGGCGGCGTTGATCGTCGTTCCATCAAGGTTAAGATCTCTGAGCCCCCTCAGGTGCTTCATGCCTTTGGGCAGAGCATGCAGTGACTTGCACTCCCTCAGCAGCAAGAATTTCAGGCTCCACAGGTTGCCGATGGACTCTGGAATCGCCTGTATCCCTGTCCGGGACAGGTTGAGGAGCCTCAGGTGAACCATATTCCCCAGAGTCTCTGGGATGAGCACAATACCTGTTTCACTCAGGTCGAGGACTCGCAGCTGGTGATGCAGCCTCGCGAAGATGTTTCCTTCGGTTGCCAGTGGGTTCCTGGGAAGCAGCAGCGTCCTTACCCTCTCCGAATTCAGGATCCACTCTGGTACCGCAGCCATGTTTCTTCCCGGAAGCGAGACGCGCCGTGGCCTGAACGAGGCGTCGCCGTCGTCGGGCAGCCGCTGGACGTCGCCGGTGAAGCCCTCGCCCTGCAGGAGCAGCTGCGCCAGAGCATGCAGCGCTTCGTGCACCGTGCACCCGCGCACGTCCTCCTGCGTCGTCTGGAGAAGGTTCCTGCCGACGAGCTCGTCGTAGTACCCCTCGGCTACCTCCTCGATGGAGGCGCCGCTCCTACTCTGCACCAAGCGCTCGGCCATCCAGTGCTGCAGGAGCACCCGCCTTTCGACAGGGAAGCCCGGGGGGAACAGCGAGCAGTAGAGGAAGCATTGCTTCAGGTGGTGCGGCAGGTCATCGTAGCACAGGTACAGCGCCCTCATGGCGTCGTCCGGGAGCCCCTTCACCAGCCACGCGGGGCTCGCGAGCACCTTCCCCCACGCGTCGGCGCTGGCCTCCCGTGTCCTCAGCACGCCGGCGACCGCCTTGATGGCCAGAGGGATGCCGCCACACTTCTCGACGAGCCTTTCGCCCACGCCCTTCAGCTGGCTCTCGTCGTTGGCCACGCACGCCGCCGTGCGGAGAAGCAGCCAGACATCGTCGGCGCTGAGCCTCTTCACCCGGTGGACAAGGCCGGCGCCCATCTCGCGGGCGGTGCTGCCGCGCCGCGCTGTGACCAGCACCTTGCCGCCCCGGCCGCCGCGCTCCAGTGGGTTCTGCAGCATGTCCTCCCACACCCCGCCGTACCACACGTCGTCGACCACGAGCAGGAACCTCTTGTTCGCCACCAGGCCTGTCAGCATTGCCTGGAGGTCGGCGACGCTCTCGCCGCCCTTTGTGTCGCCGCCAAAGGCGTCGATGACCTGCGAGAGCAGGCCGGCCTCCGTGTACCCTCTGGAGAGGCGAACCCATGAGGTTGTCCCGAAGCTGCAACGCACCCTCGCGCTCTCGTATACCATCCTAGCGAGCTTGGTCTTGCCGATGCCGTCCGGTCCGACGATGGCGACAACCTCGCATGCCGCCGGCCTGCCCGTCTGCGTCAGCCGATCAACGAGCAGTCGGGCGTCGTCCTCGATCCTTGTGCCGACGGCGATGTCTGGATCAGTTGGCTGGCGCCTCAGCGACGTCCGCGTATGGACGGTGGGATCAGCCGCGTACGCCGCGTGGAGCTGCAGCCGGCGCTGCTTCCTCAGGATCGCCTGCAGCTTCTGGTTGACGCGCTTGAGGTCGGCAGCGATGTCGCCGTGGGGCTCGGCGTCCTCGCAGCAGGAGGATAGGAGCCAAGGCAGAGCCTGCACGCCATGACGAGAGCACAAGGTAATAATTAATTCACAAAACCTGCAATGCAATGCAATGCAACAGTGTGATCTTAGTTTGTTCAAGTCAGAGGCTGTAATCTCGCCTGCTGCTGCTGCTGCGGCTGCTTGGGTTCCCTGCCCCCGAGCCGGCGCGCGGCGACCCTGCACCGGTCGACGGCGCCGTCTGCCTCGTACGCCGCGGCGCGTACCTCGGCGAGCCACCGCGCGGTGGCCTCGTCCCCGCGCGCCGCCTGCGCCTCGGCGTCGCCCAGCACGGCGGCCACGCTCTCCAGCCTCGCCGCCAGCTTCCTCGCGGCCGCCGCGACGCCCAGCTCCTCCGCCACCTCCCCTTCCACCAGGCCGCGCCACCGCGCCGCGGTGTCCGGCACGAACGCGCCGAGCACCACGGCCATGTCAACCGCCTCCGGTCACGACGTCGTCTACCCTCGCCGAGACGGTTGTTTCGTTCGTTTGTGTTTGTTTATGGAATTGATTTGTTCGTTGGATGGAAGAGAATAAAGAGGATCACCTACGCACGAAGTCAACTACTAGGAACTAATAATTCAGAATGTAATTGCGTACCGGGGATCACGTCATGATGAGCATACACTTGGAATAGTTCCAGCCTTTTTCTTTCTAATCTAATCATCTCCCCCCTGATTTTAAGGGGTGGGACCGGGCCTTATTTTGTTCCAATCAAATCAAGCCACGTATGCGGGAGCACGGATGGGCACACGGGAGGGGAGCAGTCAAGTCTCGTCCACTAAGATGAGGGCCTTCCTGCCCTGGTGGATGTCAACTTTTCTTTTTGAGGGAAATAGCCAAGTTTATTCATCAAAAGCCACAAAACGTGGGATACAATTCGGATTATGGGGTTGACCCAACCAAATGTGTCGACCCTGACTGAGAGTAAGTGAATACTTGGCTAACCTATGTGCATCAACATTGACTGCACTACTTTCAAAAGTAAAGTTACAATAAAATAAAGATGTTGTAAGCAAGATTTCATGAACTATAGATCCATTCCTCCCTCTTGTGCCTTGATTGATTCAGCAACTGTTTGCTTGGAGTATGAAGCAATGACAAAGTTCTGCAAGTTGAGGTCTGCTGCTAGTGCCAACCCTTCTCTGCATGCAATAGTCTCTAAGATGGAAGGATCATCAAGACCTGCAACCACTAATGCCGAGCTTCCCAGGTAGTTGCCTTGTGTGTCCCTACAAACCGCAACAACAGAACCCCGACTGGCCGTTCTCACACCCGCATCAACATAGATTTTTGCGAAGCCAAAGGGAGGAGTTTTCGCACGGCCAGGGTGTATAGGAGGAGCGCCTCCATGCCTGGGAACTGGTTGCTTGTCCTTAATAACCTCTAACTCTGATATGAACTTTTGGACAAAGAGGATTGTAACTTGTGGTGTTTGGAAAATCCATTCATGGATAGCTTTGCGTCGAGCTGTCCAAATCGGCCACAAGGTGACGGCTAGCTTCACAAATTGATCATGTGATAACTGCTCCATCATAGCAAAAAGCCACTGCTAAGCTTTTGGCTCTGTGGTTGACACTAGGTTCTGCGCAAGATCATCGTCAACCAATGCCCAAGTGCACCTGGAGGCTGTGCAGTTGATAAGAGAGTGCCGCCAAGAATCCAGGGAGCCACATAAACCACAAGAAGAATTGTTTGCCATGTGACGATGCGCCCGGGCATCCTCTGTAGGCAGCGACTGTTTTGATAAGCGCCATAAAAACATTTTGATCTTTCCAGGAACTTGTGTCTTCCAGAGGGTCTTCCACGATCCTTCTTCCATCATGCCCGTAGATGAGTCGGCCCTGCCCTCGAGCCAAGCCTCCCGCCTATGTCTTGTAGCTACCAGCATACGGTAAGCTGACTTTACAGAGTAGTTGCCATTTTTCTCAAAATTCAAGCTCCAACTGTCATGCATATTCTGAGTACACAGTGGCATGCCCATAATAGTTCAAACATCCATCGGAAGGAAAACCTATCGGACGCGTTGATAGTTCCATGATGCACTAGTATGGTCAATCAGCTCCGAAACGAAGATAGGCGGATCTGCACATAAACACCCGTAGGGTCTCATCATCTCATCCCTGGGCAGCCAAGAGTCCTCCCAAATATGTGTGTTTTCGCCGTTGCCAATTCCGCTATCAAACCCTGTTTAAGCGTGTTGCGACCTTCGATTATAGCTCGCCAAATCTGACTAGGATGATTCCCAAGAGTTTCCTGCAGGATTGTTGAATCAGGGAAATAAATGCTCCTCAGTATGCGGGCACTAAGTGACTCCGGTGATTGGAGTAGCCTCCAAGCCTGACGTGCAAGCATTGCAAGGTTAAATAGCTCAAAATCTTTGAAACCGAGGCCCCCCATTCCTTTTGGCTGCGTCATTGCCTTCCACGACACCCAATGAGGTTTTCTCTTTCCATCCTTGCTTCCCCACCAAAACTTCCTAATAAGCATATTAAGGTGTTCACATAACCCTCTCGGAAGCTTAAAGCACGACATGGAGAAGACTGGTATGGCTTGTGCAACTGACTTTACTAACACCTCTTTGCCTGGGGTTGACATGGTGTTCTCTATCCATCCCCGCACCTTACTCCATAAACGGTCCTTCAAATATTTAAAGGCACCATTTTTTGAGCTCCCAATATCTGACGGCATGCCCAAGTACTTCTCATTCAAGGTCTCGTTTGGAACATTAAGCAAACCTTTGATATCCAATCTGACATTTTCTGGAACACCCTTGCTAAAAAATATTGAGGATTTTCCAAGGTTAATTCGTTGCCATGACGCTTGACAGTAAATGTTCAAGACTTGGTTCACCTCATTTGCTCCACTACTATTCGCCTTACAAAACAACAGGCTGTCATCAGCAAATAAAAGATGGTTTACCTGTGGCGCCATAGGTGCCACTTGTACTCCACCCAAGTTGGATGACTCACTTCTGGATTTTAACAGGCACGAAAGGCCCTCTGCTGCTAGCAAGAACAAGTACGGAGATATTGGATCCCCCTGTCTGATACCCCTTGATGGCTCAAACTCCTCTAACTTTTTCCCATTGAACATGACAGAGAATTTAACTGTGGTCACTAGTCCCATAACTATGTTCACACACCTTTCAGTGAAGCCCAATTTGATCATAATTGCTCTAAGATATGGCCACTCCACCCTGTCATAAGCCTTCATCATGTCAAGTTTCAGAGCAAAAGACTGGTGCTTCTGAAGGAAATATGCCCTAGAAGCAATAATAAAGTTATTATTTATTTCCTCATATCATGATAAATGTTTATTATTCATGCTAGAATTGTATTACCTGGAAACATGATACATGTGTGAATACATAGACAAACATAATGTCACTAGTATGCCTCTACTTGATTAGCTCATTAATCAAAGATGGTTATGTTTCCTAACCGTAGACATGTGTTGTCATTTGATTAACGGGATCACATCATTAGGAGAATGATATGATTGACTTGACCCATTCCGTTAGCCTAGCACTTGATCGTTTAGTATGTTGCTATTGCTTTCTTCATGACTTATACAAAGTTCCTACAACTATGAGATTATGCAACTCCCGTTTGCCAGAGGAACACTTTGTGTGCTACCAAACGTCACAACGTAACTGGGTGATTATAAAGGAGCTCTACAGGTGTCTCTAAAGGTACATGTTGAGTTGGCATATTTCGAGATTAGGTTTTGTCACTCCGATTGTCAGAGAGGTATCTCTGGGCCCTCTCGGTAATGCACATCACTATAAGCCTTGCAAGCAATGTAGCTAATGAGTTAGTTACGGAATGATGCATTATGTAACGAGTAAAGAGACTTGCCGGTAATGAGATTGAACTAGGTATTGGATACCGACGATCAAATCTCGGGCAAGTAACATACCGATGACAAAGGGAACAACGTATGTTGTTATGCGGTTTGACCGATAAAGATCTTCATAGAATATGTAGGAGCCAATATGAGCATCCAGGTTCCGCTATTGGTTATTGACTGGGAACAGTTCTAGGTCATGTCTACATAGTTCTCGAACCCGTAGGGTCCGCACGCTTAACATTACGATGACAGTTTTATTATGAGTTTATAAGTTTTGATGTACCGAAGGTTGTTCGGAGTCCTGGATGTGATCACGGACATGACGAGGAGTCTCGAAATGGTCGAGAAATAAAGATTGATATATTGGAAGCCTATATTTGGATATCGGAAATGTTCCGTGTGAAATCGGGATTTTACCGGAGTACTGGGGGGTTACCGGAACCCCCCTGGGGGTTAATGGGCCTACATGGGCCATGAGGGAGAAGAGGAGGGCCGGCCAGGGCAGGCCGCGCCCCCCCTCCTCCCTAGTCCAAATAGGACAAGGAAGGGGGGGCCTTTCCTCTTTCCCCTCCCCCCTTTCCTTCTCCACCAAGGCAAGAGGAGGGAGTCCTACTCCCGGTGGGAGTAGGACTCCTCCAGACGCACCCCTAAGGGGCCGACCGCACCTCCCCCCTCCCTCGTTTATATATGGGGGCAGGGGGCACCTCTACACACACAAGTTGATCTTCGTGATCGTTCCTTAGCTGTGTGCGGTGCCCCCCTCCACCATATTCCACCTCGGTCATATCGTAGCGGTGCTTAGGCGAAGCCCTGCGTCAGTAGAACAT